TTTTGTTTATGTCTCAAGTCTTTAGTAAAATCTTTCAAGGATTTTGACAACTTGTCGGTGATGATTGAAACTTGCATTTATTCATCTAAATGTATGCCTTTAGAGCGAATGTCATGTGCAATCATTTGAATTTTATAAGCTTGATCTATCACAAGCTTTACTTCATTCATCTTAAACTTGAAAAAATAATTGCAAACATATTTTATGGATCCGACTTTTTTGATATCTTATTTTTCATGTAAAACCTTCCAAATCTTCTTAACAAAAGAATAACCTTGGTCATAACGGTGATAAAACTAATAAAAAAGATAAGTAATTAAGTAAATAATTGCAACAATTATTACTATAATTTTTTTCACCTTTTAACTTGTATATCATGTTGAGCTATCTCTTCATTATTCGTATTTTCAAATTTCTTTCTCTTTAGATTTTTTTCGTTACATTATAACAAATATTCAAGATAAAATATAGTTTTTTTGTCTCCACCTTTTGAAATTTGCACCACAAAAGCATAATAGTTTGATAAAGTCATTGGCTCTAATAGAGTTTTGCCTATACATAATATTAGAGTTTTTCCTTGGCAAGCATCGTCTCAAATTGTTGAAAAAAAATGATATTACTTAAAAAAATGATGAACAAAAAACACTAAAATAGCTTTATTATGATTTTCTAAATGAATAATCTCAAGACACAATCATATTGTTTTTTGAAAACGATATACAATATCCGTAGCAATTTTTGATGCAGCGAATCAAATACATGTTGCATGTCGTCTTATAAATACAACAAATCCTATCATTTTGTCATGCTTAACAAGTTTAAACGTCTTAAAATACTCATAAAACTTGAAACTTGAAAATAAAATAAGTATCCTTCTTTAAAAAAAAATGACAAATAAAATTAAATAGCTTTTTAAAAAGAGACCAGAAAAGGCAAAAAAAAAAAAAAAGCAAAGCGGCTAATTTTTTATATTTTATTCTGCTATAAATCTCTTTGTCTCTTGTCAAATGACAAAGACATGTACACATAATAGTAAAAATTGTCCCGTTACAATTGAAATAAATGAGTGAATAAAGGCTTGAAGGATTAAAAAAGAAAAAAAAAAAGAAACTGACCTTTTAAAGACCATTCCGTTGCAATTGAATGTCAGAAATAAACTAATTGACAATAGCTTCAAAAGTGCATTACTGTGCTGCTTTGAAATGCATGTTTTTTTTTTAATTAACATAGTTTTTTCTTTGGGATTGAAAAGGATTTTTTTTTTAATAACTTTTTAAGCAAGATTGAAACAGGAATATTGAAAAATAGATGGTACATGATACCTCATTAGTGATGGTATCAAATACATGCTGTCAAGTGTGTTCCACTATAGCCTTGGTAAGGAAAATTATACGAATTACATGTTATATATATATATATATATATATATATATCGCGCGCGCGCACCCCTATATAAGATTAATATTATTTTTAAATAATTATTTTACATAATTTACTTATTGAAATCAATTATTGAATGAATATCTCATGAAATAAGTAGATTTGGTTAACAACTCTTGTAAATTTAACGATGGGTATTTTTCAATAGTAAATAAATTATATAAGACGATTATGTAAGAATAACACTGCTGATAATAAAAATGATAGAAATTACAAGGTGTAAATAAATAGATACATTTGTTGGATACTGTTAACCAATGCCTCTAATCAAGAGATTAATCATGGTGTCATGGATAGTTAAATATTGTAATAATTAAGCAATATTTAACATCAGATCACATCTCAATTTTTTTTAAAAAAATTGAAAATTAAACAATATTTAATATCCAATCACATCTGAAATTCAAAAATGATATCCTTTCAATCGCATATATATAAAACGTTAATCCCACTCTACGTTTCCATGGAGTTACCAAATTACACTTTTATATTTTTTTTATAATTAAATTAAATTTTATCATATTACATATAAATGCCACAAAATAAAAGAACACCTTAAATTTATATCCCATTAAAAATATATATATATATATTTGAAAATTATAATAAAATAGATTTTATAGAGTCATATAATTTTTTATTTCAATAAATTTACATCTCTAATTAAACATGGTTTCAAATTAACTATTCATATTAACATATTTTTCCTATTGGATATTATCATGAAATAAAAAAAATACTGAAACAAAATGCTCAAATATTGTTTGGTCACTCTTTATTTTACTATAGATGTAGATTCAATGGCACTTAATATATATATTCAGACTCAATTTTGCTGTGCCATTCACGTCACTGTGCTGTGACATTATGTAATTTTCAAGTTATTTTCATGTGTTTTATATGCAAGTTTTACGAATATTATATTTTGATTTTTAAATTTTTTAAACACTTTTATTTTGCTATCCATCTTTATTTATATTGTGTTGTGGTCTATAAATGTAGAGAGGAAAGAGAAACAAAATGAAAGAAGTGAGAATAAGAAAAGTCACAACGAGACCCATTCCAATCAATTTGATCCTCAATCTTGCTTTTAATTTATTCATCTTAAAAAGAAGAGTTTATTTATAATGGTCACAAATCATAAAATATTGAAAGAGATAGATCAGGACCCCAAAGCATTTTGAGTTTTTGAATTTGATTTAGATTTTTGTATCTTTTAATTGCATTAAAATGAGTTCCAAGGTTCTAATTAAACTAGTTTTTTTGGACTTATTTAAGTGATTTTAAGGTGTTTTGGTACAAAAATGATAATAAAATTAGATTCCAAAGATTAAAAACTAGTTATGCCGATTTTCTAACAATTTAGGTTTGGTAGAGGTTGCAGGTGAACAATGTGTGGTTGATTTTTGTTTTTTTTAAAAAACACTAGCCTCGTTGTGCCTAGTTCTCCAAGCCCAAGGTGCATGCCTAGATTGTTTTTTTTTTCCTAGTAATTTTTTTTATTATTGAATTTGTGCAAAAATAATGGAAGATTGAATGTTATTTTTTTGGGTTTCTCACATAGTCAAGTGAGGACAAAATATATATGATATGTTTTTATATTAGAATGAATATATATTAGAGATTATATTACTCTTATTATTTAAAATTTATTTATTTATTCATTTCATACGAAAATTCATATCCAATTAATATTTAATTTTTTTTATAAAATTTTATTTGCTCACAAAATATTTTTTTATGTATATATTTTGGAACAAAATTTTAGAATATAGTTATTTTATTATTTAAAATAAATTAATATAATTTATATGATGGATTTTTATAATATTGAAATGAGAATAGCATGATTATATATATAAGGTTAAAAGTATATTTCAAAAAATTTATCTTAGATTTTTTTTTTAAATAATTTTCAAAATATTTAATTAATAATTAAAAGTTAAATGCAAAAGAAGAAGAAGAAATAATTGCTCTGCATACGAGAATTGTGCAGAGGACTACCCATATATGGCCTAAAAAAATATATAAATAAATAATTCACATGTTTATTTGCTTCTTTTTTATATAATTAAAATTTATCGAAATCAATGTTGTAGTAATTTTTTATTGTAGTCCATTAACTTCAACTTTAATGAATATATTCCTTATAAGTTAATCATTTTTTAAAATATATATTTTTCTATTTTATGTTACATACTTTAAGCCCATTTAGAATAGTTATGATGCATTTATACAAATAACACAAACCATTTCCTATTTATTTATTTATTGATATTTTGAAATTATGTTTTTCAAATAAAGTAATTAAAATTATATTTTAGAAGAACCATACAATAAATCAAATACAGTTTTTTAAACTAATATTATTGATTGTTTTATGAATAAAATATATACACAAACTAAATGTATATACTTTCAAAAAATAATCTTCTTATCAATATTAAATAAAAATAAAATATAATTTTATCATTTGTTTATTTTTATACAACTTTTTATATTAATGGTTACATTATTATATTTTTTTTTTGACATAATCTTGTGAAATAAAATATTAAGAATTTTTTTTGGATTAAAATTTCTATTTAGATCAAGTTTCTAGATAAAAATTAATGGATAAAGAAGAAAAAAACAATGTTTTTTTACTAGAAAATTTATGGTTTGACATGCTCTATCTCATACGAGAAGAATTTTACGTTTTAAAGGGGGATCCTACGTTCCCAAGTCCGAACCCACACCGAAATTTGCTTTCATTTAATCAACTCCTTATGGCGGAATAACACGACTTTATTTCCCAAAAAGCAACCTATAGTTTTAACTCCCTTCGTTCTCGTGCGATCTGAATGTTGGATGCATGGACAAATTAATTTGGGTTTGCGTCGTGCAATGGCGTGCTGGGCCTGGGAAATTAAAGCTCAGGGGCATCACACACACACGGAGATCACTGTTACCATTTCCAACGAGTGTTAATTTGGGCTTCTAAATTTTTAATTAGATGGAAACTCTAAATCCATATATCAAGCTCAGGGGCACTTGATGACATTCCCCGCCATCCTCTTGCTTCAGAGCAGAACACACAGAACTATCCCGGATGTCACACCTATGGAGATCCTTCCGATGATTTGGCCCTGGAATGTATGGTTTCAAAATGTAACTTCACTGTTCTTCTCCTTCTCCAAAAAGACATCTTTTATTTATTTTTGTCCTTATATTCATTTACATTTGTATACCAAATTAATATCAGTGTTTATCCATAGATAATCGATCAAAGACATCTTTTTTGATGTCTTTGAGTCCTACATGAATCTAGGATACACAAATGATACAGATACCAAATATTTGACAATTTGAAAGAGTAGCAATAAAGCTAGCCTCAACAAACATTTGACAATTTAGTTGTTTATAAAGTTCTCGAAGATAAATTAGTTCTTTTTCTCTGACTTCTCTGCAACTTGCCACACTAATTTAAAACAATCACTTTCTTTCTTCTTTTAAAAATACACCTGACTCATAATAATGATTTTTCCAAACAATTAAACTCCTTTATATGACCTCATAACCTAACTACCATTCACCTTTTTACAATCTGACCTGATCTCTCCACTACTTCCTGTTAATGGGCTAATATTTCCCATATTAATCATTGATTGAACAAAACTCTGGAAGAAGGCAGTTTGGTTACTACTGAAGGCGTTGACAATAGAGATTGTAGCAGCACCGGTTGTGGAGAATAACTCTTGGTCTGATTGGAGAAGACCTTGATTGTTTTGTAGGTTGGTGAAGTAATTATTGTCAAACGCATCTGAAGTTGTGGGATCAAGGTTGGCCAAAGCAGTTCCACTCCCATTTTGTGGGCATATTTGTTGCAGAGTAGTCAAGTATGTTGAATTTAATGTTGGGTCAGGGTTGCCTGTGCCACTGAAATTGTTCAGCCTATTGCTAAATGTTCGACATTGAGCACGTCCGAATGTATGAGCTCCTGAAAAGAAAAAAAAATTGATATTAGTTTTGAAAATTCTGAATCTATTTTGAGATATTAGAAATATAATTACCTGATAATGCAACAAGGTCATTGGTGTTTAGACCTACTGCAGAGAACTTTGCAGTAATATTGCTTAGGCCTTCAAAAGGAGAGGGAATTGATGTATTGGCTCCAGCCTGATTTGCAGTTAGACTATCCCTTCTTCCCAATAGTACATTCCATGAAGGACCTCCTGACTACAAGCATCATTAGAAGCAGCATGTCATGGTTTCATATTTTTTTTGTCGTTCATAGAATATTTCATTTGTACAAACTTCTGAACATAGACAGATCATATTGATATACCTAACTCAAACAAAACGAAGAGCTTCACAAAGAAGTTCACTTTATCGACTAATTAATTACCAGAGAAACAGAAGATTCGGCAGCAAGTGCAAGAACGTCAGCGCAGGAGACAACACCAGGACAAGAATTCTCTACAGCAGCCTTGATGTTGTCAACAACATTGAAACCCCGAGCAGAGTTAACGTTGGGACCGGAAAATTTTTCACTCAGTATGCTTGAACTGTTGTCTAGTAGAAGTGAAGCATCACATCCCTATCCACAAAATCAAATTAATTCATCAACATAATGTTTAAGTATTAAATACAAAACCACTTCAAAGAAATTAAATGATGATATAATTGAGTTTACATTGACAAAGCAATCATGAAAATGGAGGCGAATGAGGCTGGCCCCAATCCGAGAATCAGATTGAAGAGCCTGCTGAACAACGCTACTGACGATGCTAGACACATTAGGGCATGTGTTAGCATAAAATGTTGCATTTAATTGGCCATTAGATCGGTGCAGCATCATTGCTACCAAAATTACTGTCACTGACATGAAACTAGCACTAGTAGAAGAATAAGACATTGTTGTTTCTCCTGAACAGAAAAAGAAGGTAACAAAAGGTTTCTCTAATTTTATGCATTAGCGAGTCCTAAGTAAGCTGGTATATATATATATATATATAATATATTGTCATGACCATTACACGTAACTCGTATTCGGCAGGAAAAGTCTATCGTTATTAATAATAAGATTAACCTTCACGCAAGCGAGTAATCAGCACAAAATTTCCCTTTTAAATGTCTTCCCAGTGTGTGTAGATATATATCTATTATATAAATGTGAGTTCCTCTCCTGTGTATTAGGTTTCAAATGTCATGAAAAAGAAGTAAAGGTCTTCACAAGGACAATAATATAATCAATTCCCTTTTAAAGCAAGTTGCTTCAAAATTGAAAAACTCAAAACTTTTCAGGTTCAATGAGCTAAAAAACAAGGAGAACTTGAGGTGTAAAGCAAGCGAAACAGCACAGAGGTCAGTCAAAAATAATATATTAAAGCATGTACCAGCTAGCATTAATGATTAATCAATCAATCTTCAGTGGAGCCGATTAACTCATGAAACGCGGGAACCATAGGAGACTACGCGTATGGATTAGTGGTTGGATTGGCTGAGACTAAACTGTGTCAATTGGCAGTGTGTTGTGCTTAGTAATAGCTTGGACGATATCCATACATAATTCTCAAAATAACGAGACGTGTTAGTCATCCACTTATATTTGCAAGTAATTGGTTCTAGTTTCGGTGGTGAAGTCCTGAGCCGTTAGTCGACATTGCTCATTTTTTAAGGTTACTCGTTGATGAGACATGAGAAGAGTCATGGGTTTAAATCTTAATAGAATAACTCTGTTAAGATTTTTAAGTGTGCGAGGAAAAAAAGAAGATATAGGATATATTTAGAAATTGAAGAGGGCTACCTCGATTCTTCTAGAAGGCTGTCCCTTGTTCGGAGGTCTTAAAACTCTTCTGTGAGTGCAGTTACGGTGGTAATTATCTGTTAAGGCCCTTTAGAAAGTAGTGCTGACAGAAAAGAAAAATCTCATGGAACATAAATAAAAAAGTAAAACTTCGCAGACATCATAGACATTGTCAAATATTTATTATTAGCTATCAAGCCACTGTCATAAACTAAAGACAGCAATCATAACAGAAAGCATGCGCGAAAGAAGGACCGCTGCAATAGACAACAAAACACGTTGAGGGCAGGTGCACCAAACTCATTCATTTAAGAGTTGTAGATAAGTTCTAGTTAATTATTTAGTCTTAGTTATAGATATAACTGAATTAGTGTTTAGTTAACTTGTTGTCTTAATTTTATCAATACAAACAGAATATTATTAAAATATAAATACATACAAGCTACTTTGTGTAAAAACTCATGAATTTTTCTACTGTTCAATTTGGTATCAAAACCTTTTTTTCTTTTTGCAAAACTGCTCCAATAGCATTCAAGAGTTATTCCTCTTCTGCAACTAACAAAATCAAAACCCTCTAGTTATTGTTTCTTCTCAAACCATATCAAATCACGTCACACGACTTACCAATTAATGCTCATCATTTTATTTCTTTCAAATTGAACTCAACAAACTACCGTTTTTTAGTGCACTCACATGAGACCATTTTTAATGCGAATAGATCTATTTAGGTTCACTGATGGCAACAAATATTGCCCACCCTCTTATACGTCCATAAACAAACCCACAACATAGTTTTTGGGTTCAACAACATTAGTTATTAATGAATACACTTATTGCTTCTCTATCTACGAAATTTTTATTTATTGGGATTGATTGTTGCACTTCTCGTGAGGTTTGGATTGTGTTAGAGACTACTCTTACCTCCACCTCTAGCATCAGAATAATGACGCTGCACCTTGTCCTCCATTAGCTCAAGCAAGATGGCACTGAAAGTATCACTTAGTATCTCCAACGAGCAAAGTCTTACAATGATGAATTCACTACCGTAGGAAAGCCTATATCCACAATTGATTTCAACCTTTATGTCTTTAGAGGGTCATCTGGAGATTTCAAGGACTGATCACCAACCAATTCGAAGGAAATTAGAAAAAGCTTCCACAGCCTCAGCCTTAGTACTTATACTGAGACTAACACAGACTAGCAGTCTCCTTCTCTACATGTATATACTTATTGCAGAGTTTGTACTGCGGTAAATTATATATTATTTTTGTAGCTGGATCTGTAATCACTAGCAGCCGATCACTGACCACATACATATACAGCAGTGACCACATTGTGACTGTTAAGGAGGAAAGAAGGCTAGTTTTTTTTTAGCTTGCTTTTTATCTATCTTTTTCACGTTTTTTAAGGCACATCCTAAAAGGTTGCTTGACTCCCATAAACAGTACTAATGCAGAGATGCCCTCCTTGTGTTTCAGCACATAAAAGATGTAACCTATGTCTAGAAGAGAAATCCCTCACCTATCTTCTAGCTAGCATAAACAATAAAGAGAAGAGAGAGAGAGAGATATGCTAGGGTTTTGAGCGTCCCTGTGAAGTCCTTTTTCCTGGTAATACAACAGTCTAATATTTTTCTTCGTATATAAATTGAAGTGCATCAATCAAGCTAAATATAAAGCATGAGTTGTAAATTTCTTTGTGACAATGTTAAACATTGTAGCAAATGTTAGAAGATAATCAGATCAAACAATACGGTGGTTCGATCATCTATACTCGGACTAGGAGCTCATGAGGGTGCACCCACAAACACACACACACACATATATATATATTTTGGTGGATAAACAAAGGGACCGAAGTCTAGTAGGTCTTCAGAACAGATGATGGTTCGTAGTTCATATTAGAAAACGGAGGTATTTGATTCCTCGTGCATCCCATGCGACCTTGAGCAGGTTGCCAAGAGGCAAATAACCATTGGTTTGACTACGTGGCGTTGACTGAGAAAGTAATAGCATCTGAAATTCCAATCATGTTTTCAAGAAACTCTCTTAGTTTAGTTTTCGAAAAATACTTTGTGATACTATGGTGATAGACATCATTTTCAAAAATAAAAAAAAATTTAGGAGTAAATTTAAAAAGTAAAAATATTAAATAACATAATACATATTAAAATAAAGTATCCTTCCTTGTATTCCTTCAATAAAACACTACCCTTATAAAATTATGATGATTTTTTTTTACACCACCGATTTCATGTAGCACTACTCTTAGTTTTCTTTTTCTTGATTCTTTCCTCTTTTTAACTTATTCACTTGGCTAGCTGTTTTTTTTTTTTTTTTTTTTGGGAGATGAATTATGCATGTGACCCATTGATGTTGCATTTCGGGCACTTAAGAAATGTGTTATCTAAAAGCTTGGAGTGGGTCAATGAACTGAATGCATATGGACATGGTTGCTGCATGTGCAATCATGTGAAGTTCACTTGATCTATCATAAACTTTACTTTATTCATATGAAACCCGAAAAAATAGTTACAAATATATTTTTTGGATTTAGTTTCTTTGATATTGCATTTTTGATGAAAACCTTTCCAAATCTTCTTAACGAACAATAACATTGGTCATAGTAGTGATAAAACTCATAAAAAAACAACTAGTTAAGTAAACAATGATTATAATTTTTTTTTCATTTTTTAACTTCTATATCACGTTGAGTTATCTCTTCATCATTCATATTTTCAAATTTCTTTTTCATTAAGTTATAGCCAATATTCAATAGAGTAAGATAAAACATAGTTTTTTGTCTCCACCTTTTGAAATTTGCACTCCAAAAGCATTATAGTTTGATAAAGTCACCTATTCTAGTATAGCTTTGCCTATACATAACATTAGAGTTTTTTATTGGCGACATCGTCTCAAATTGTTGAAAAAAGAATAGTACTACTTGAAAAAATAATGAACAAAAACACTAAAATAGCATTGTTAGAATTTTCTATATTATTATCACGAGACATAATTAGGTTATTTTCTCGAAAACGACACGCATCGTCTTTAGAAATTTCGATGCATTGAATTATATATATGTTGCATGTCATCTCTTGGATACAACAAATTCAATCATCTTGTCGTGTTTTAACAAGTTTGAACATCTTGAATTACCTATAGGACTTGAAACTTAAAAAAAAATAGTGCCATTCTTACAAAAAAAAAAAAGACAAATAAAATTAAATAGCTTTTTAAACGAGATACCATAAAAGACAAAAAAGCAAAGTAGCTAACATTTTTATATTTTATGTTGCTATAAATCTCTTGTCAAATAACAAAGACATGTATATATAATAGTAAAATTTATCTTGTTACAATTGAAATAAATGAGTGAATAAAGGCTTGAAGGATAAAAAAATAAAACAGATATTTTAAAGACCATTTCAATGCAATTGAATGTTAGAAATAAACCGATTATGTTAAGAAGGAGAGAATTGGGGAAACTGTTCTTGAATGCGTATATTATCCGTTATGTTTACAAGAAGAGAAACAGTAGCTTATATGTTATTGAGTTATAATCCTCTACTTCTCAACCTATTTACAACTCGTAAACTAGGAAAGTAAATAAACTATACAACTTTTAATACTCCCCTTCAACTTAAGGGTTTATATAAATCATAAACACCTAACTTGGACAAAAGATACTAATGAAGTTTGTCGCCTAAAGCTTTGGTGAAGATTTCGCAAGTTATTCTCTTGATGTGACAAAAATAATTTTAAGCAACCCATCTCTAATCTTCTATCTAACCAAATGACACTCAATATCTATATACTTTGTCCTTTCATGAAAAATTGGATTTGAAGCAATATGCAAGGTTGTTTTGTTTTCATAATTTATTAACAAGCAACTAAACCTATGACATATGATTCATTTAAAAGTCCAACCAACCAAATCACCTCACAAGTATCTCGAAGCCATTGCTCCGTATTCGGCCTCTACTAAAGGTCAAGATACTATATTTTGCTTCTTTGTTTTCCAAGATATGAGAGAGCTACCAAAAAAAGATACAAAAACCAGTCAAGGACTTTCTAGTCATAGGACAAGAAGCCTAGTCCGAATTATAA